CGATAGTAAATTAATGCAATAAATTATGTAATAAATATTTTTAAATTAAATTAAACATTTACCGTATTTACTCGATTAATTCCCCTGGGGAATTATTGTTTCAACCCATCCGTGGCATGGGGAATTAATCGAGGGAGGGGAATTATTCGAGGGAGGGGAATTAATCGAGTAAATACGGTATACATTGTTTATCTGAACATTTTATTTGAATATTTTCTAGAAACATTTTTGATGTTTATCTGAACATTCTTTTCAACATCTATATTTTGTTTAAAAGAAAAAATAAGCTTCTTTTAATTCCAACTTTAATGTTTTTCCAAAACACATGTTCATCTAAACATGTTTTTCTAATCTACTTTGTTTGAAACTTTTAATTACAACATGAATTTCTTAAGAACATTTTCAATGTTTATCTGAACATTCTTTTCAACATTTATTTGTTTATAAACAAATAAACTTTTCCAACTTGAACATTTTTCTAAAACATTTTTGATGTTCATCCAAACATTCTCTCTCCAACATATTTATTTGTTTATTTTTCCATAAATAAAATTAATTTTATTTCTTAAAATAGAATTGCGCAATCCATTATTCTCTCTTATTTTTTCTCGCCTTTTAAATGGTCATTTTCTCACTTTTATTCAAGTAAATAAATAAATATATCCAAAAATGGCCACAAAAATGTTTCATTATTTTTAAAAAAATATTTTTAGGGACAATAATTCACAACGGGGGATGTGTTGATGATGATATTTTTATATTTATTTTTGTATAAGTACTTGGAATAAAAATAAACTTTTTTTTCGAGAAATGAAGAAAAAAAGTTTATTTTTTTATTATTTTTAATAAATATTTTTCTGAAAAAAAAATTTTTCTATCTATAAATTAGGGTAAAATAGGGAAGGTCTAATTAATTAATTAGATTAGAGAATAAAATTATTATTTTAAAAAGGAACGGATGTTCTCCGACTTTGCAGAAGGAAGGTTGGGAAATAGCACAGGGAAAAATTTTCAGAATTTCTCGAAATTCCCCAAAATTTTAGGATTTCTTTAGGCTATGGATAGTCCTATTTAACTCGATTTAGCAGAAGTATTTATTTAATAAAACGATAAGGCAAGGAAGTTTCAAATAATTTTAAAAAATAATTTAAAAACTACTATGTATTTATTCAAATATTCAACAAATTAAAAAAAAATTATTTAATTTTTTTTAAAAATAATTCCGGTTTTATTGGCCACTTTACTTAATTTTTACATTTTTCTTCTCTTTTTTTCAACTCAAAAACAGTTAATATATTATTTCTCACCAACCATACTCGCGGAGAGAAACGCTGATTGTGTTTATAGAGGGAATGAATTGTTTGCCCATCTTGACTGTTTGGAAGAAAAAATTTTTTCTATTTAGTTTGAAGGGATTTTTGAGCAACTATTTTTGGGAGAAGGCGATTTTCTTCGGGAGGGAGGAAGGGGGAGGAGGAAGAGGAAAAGGGGGAGGGAGGGGGAAGAGGGAAGGGAAGAGCAATACCTCCTCAATCCCCCTCCCTTTCATTTAAGTAATAGCCAAAAGAATATTTAGAAGGGAAAGAGGAAGTGTGACCATCACCAGAAGCTGTGGAAAGACCCTCTTCCTGCTTAAATGAAGTAAAAAATGAGGAGGGAGACAGTCTAAACTGCCACACTTCCTGTTGAATACCTGTTGGGCGCGGGACTGTAAAAATAGTCAAATCAAGACTTTTATCAATAAAATTTATTAAATATCATCCCAAATATTGTTAGCTATCATTTCTAAAAATTTCAGAATTTTTGACAAATTATTTCAAAAATTATGATCAAAAAACTAACGAAAAGTAGATATTTCTCAAATAATTCAAGCATTTTTTGCGATATTTTCTCTGATATTTTTTACAGAAATTACTGAAATTTGTGGAGATGTTGGAAATAAAAAGTAAAGAGATCTGTGGACGAATTTCTGATTTTTTATAAAATTAATTTGATTTATTTGAGTGACCGACCAGCCCCGTTGCAACGAAGCCCTAACTAATTTCGCAACAATTCCCTATATTTTTCTTCGGATTTTAATTTTTATCAAGTCAAAAAATGTCAGAAAACTTTCCAAGAATTTCTGAAGCATTATTAAGAATTTTAAAAGCCTAGATTCTCATTTTATATCCATCCGCGCCCAACTATCACCTCGCCCAAACATCCCTTCTTTCAAACAATTCACCCCTCCTTCTTTTCAACAAACTGATTTTTCTCTCTCATCCCCCGCTTCTTGACGGCCATTTTCTAAATATTCCTCGAACACAAATAAAATAAAAATATTTTTTAATAATCGTCTTTTTCCCCTTTTTTGCATCAGATCATCGAAAAAAATTTTTCTTCTTAAATTTTTATTTTTTTTTCCTTTAAATTCAACGAAAAATTTTATTTTTTTTTTAAATTAATTAAATAAAATATTCAAAAAAATTAATTTATTTATTTTTCTTATCAATTTACTCTCAATAGTTCATTAATTTTTTATTTTAAAAAGTACATATTTTGTGTGTTTTATTTTAAGTTAGTTCAGATATTATACATTATTAATTTATTTAAAGTACATTTTTTAAATATTTTGTTGTGGATTGAAAATTTAAATAAAATAAACATTTAAATATTTAATTAATTTATGAACATTTTCATAAACAAAGTTTTCGTTGTTTAGTTAAAAACATGCACAAACATGTTTTGTTAGAACTACAAACTTAAAACAATAGTATCAAAACATTAGCAAAACATGTTCAGACTTATAAATTCTTACGAACATGAGAATATTATTATCTTTATTACAAACATTGTTTTACTAAAAACATTGTTTTATCAATAAACATTGTTTTTATTAATAAACTTAAAACATGTTTGGATGTTTTATTAAGTTTTGCACTTTGTTTTAAACATCCATAAAAACATTATTTTTCAATTTAATATTTCCTTATATTTTTGTGTTTTTGATTTCTCTTATCAAATCAAAATTTTTTTATTTACTTTATGAGATTGTAAATTATCAGTAAATAACAAAAATTATTTATTTTTCAGCTGTTTTTATTCACAAAATTATTTAAAAAATTAAATATTTTATTTAAAATTGATATTTAAGAAATTCTGATCCGAACATTGTTTGTTTGTTTGTTTGTTTGGTTGTTTGTTTAAACATTTTCCTTAAACTTTAAGTTTTTGGAACAACACTAAAGTTTAAACAAGTTTAATATTCTTTTTATATGTTTTGGATTATCCCCTATGCGCGAACTTGTATTTTAAGGATTTTTATTTGTTTTTGTTTTGTTTTTATTTGTTTAGTATTTACTTAATATAACCTCCAAAAACAACAACTTTTCCTTTAAAAATTTATTTAATTATATTTTTTAATAATTTTATTTTTTTTAGTAATTATCCTCATTTCAGTAATTATTTAATTATTTTCTCTTTCATCATTTTTTCCTCTTTTCCTTTATTTACTCTGCTTGAAATTAAACAATTGAAATAATAAACGCCTGAAAATAAAAAAAAAGGAATGGACACCTTTATATAAAAAAGAATTAAAAATAAAAAGCAATTAGTACGATAATATAGAAAATAAATAAATATTTATTTTAGAATTTTTTAAGTAAAAGAAAATAAAAATTGTTGAGGATATTTTGTTATCTTCCTAATAAAATACAATAAACAAAACAACAAAACAATTAAACAAAAACAATTGCTTCCGTTTTTGGATGTTTTTGTTTCAATGTTTTTGTTGTTTTTAAATAAGAGAAAATTAAACAAACAAAAACATTGTGTTTTTGTTTGTTTTTGTATTTTTCCAGAAAAGGGAGAATTTTCCTCACAATAAATATAATTTATTTATTTTCCTCGCATTTTTTGATAAAGACAATAAAATCTAAAAATAATTTTTAATTATTTTATATTTTATTCGGATTTTTATTTAGAAATAAAGGATCCTCTTTTATCAAGGAAAATTTTTTTAATTTTTTGGAGCTTGATTTTTAATTAGCTAGGGGATGCTAGGGCGCAGAGACGCATTGGCGCGCTCATCTAAATTTTTATTAAAAATGAACCTAAATTTCTGATATTTTTCATAAACATTCAATATAGTATAGACTTTATCCTTACAAAATTTCAGAATTTTTGGTTCAATATTTTTCGAGTTCTGGTCGAAAAGCTCAAAAAATGTCGCCATTTTCAGGCAAATGTCCAGTTGGCTGTCTACCTGTCCGCAAAGAGAATCTGCTCTTTTCTTTCCTTTTCTTGCATTTTTTTGCGTTGAGAGAAGTGCACCCCCTCATTTTCCGTTTTCAGCATTTTTCCTTCTCAATACAGTAAAGTTTTCCTTTTCCTACTTCCAAAATATATTTTAAAAATTTTAAAAAATAATTTAAAAATACATATTTTGAAAAATACATACCGTATTTTCTCGATTAATACCCCTGTGGAATTATTTTTTCAATCCTCCCTTGGCATGGGGAATTAATCGAGGGAGGGGAATTATTTTTGGCATTTGAACGTGAAGTAGGATATTTGGGGTGGGGAATTATTGTTTCAACCCAACTCTAGCATGGGGAATTAATCGTTAGGGGGAATTATTCGAGGGAGGGATAAAGTTATTGAATATCTACATGGTTTCCAATTGTGCTATTTGAGAATGTTATCCAAAATTTATTATTATAAAATAAATATATTTTTTAAAATATTTTTAAATTATCTTTTAAAATTTTTAAAATATATTTTGGAAGTAGGAAAAGGAAAACTTTACTGTATTGAGAAGGAAAAATGCTGAAAACGGAAAATGAGGGGGTGCACTTCTCTCAACGCAAAAAAATGCAAGAATAGGAAAGAAAAGAGCAGATTCTCTTTGCGGACAGGTAGACAGCCAACTGGACATTTGCCCCATTTTCACTAATAATTCTGTATTTTTTGGCCATAACTTCTGAAATATTTAATCAAAAATTCTGAAATTTTCAATTCTATTAAATAACTATATTAGCTATTACTATACAAAATTTCACAGTTCTACGTTTTTATTTGGCAATTTTATAAGGCCTAAAGTAATCTCACCTTTCTTACTACAACATTCCCTCCTTTTTTTACAAATTTCCCTCATTTTTTTGTGTTTTAATTTTATTTTCGCAGCAGGGTGCTCGTTATTTTCTCTTTTTTTCTTTTTAGAGACTACCGTTTCCTTCCCTTCTTTAGTGCCAATTTAAAAATATAAAATGGATGGTTATCAGTACTTGGCATTTATTTTGCCTAGAGGCATTTCTTTTGTTTTTATAAACATTCATCCAATTTGTTAATGTTTTGAATATTCTAAAGAAGAGAATGATGAAGTACCTCTCTTCACTCCTCTCTCACAGGTGCGCGAAATAGAAAAATATTTATAGACAAATTTAAGTAGATATATGTTAGCTTAGCTTTCTAAACATGTTTACCTTAAATTATTGCTTTTAGTGTGTTTGTTGTTGTTGTTTTTATTTTAGATGTTTTGATGTTTTTTAATGTTTCTAGTTTTTGTTCATGTTTGTGTTGTTTTTAGATGTTTTATTTGTTTTGTTGTTTTAAATGTTTTTTTCATATTTCTAATGTTTTGATAAGTTTGTATTTTTAAGTTTGTAATTGTTAGGTTTATTTATTTTTAAATGTTTTGTTTTTGTGTTATGATGTGTTTTGGTGTTTTTTGTTTTTATTTTGTGTTTCTTATGTATTTTCCTATTTTAAAGATCACATGTTTTGTATTTTGTTTGGTTTTGATTTTGTGTTTTTCTAGTTTTGTATTTTCCCCTGTTTGTCATTTTTGTATTTTCTGTATTTTTATCTAATTAATTAAGTTTCCAAAACATATTGTTCATCAATTTTCACATGACTAATTCAAAACAATACATTAATTTTTCTTAAACATCAAATTCGCCCTAATAAACACAAAAATCTATGGATAATGAAGGAATTATTTAATTTTCCTCGGCATTGCGCCAATTAAATAACTAAAGGAAAATTAGAAAAAAATGCCAGAAAAATACATAATTTTATATAATGATGATCTCATTAAACTCTTTATTTTTTCTAATTAATTGTTGGTTTCCAACAGTGAAAAGAGTGAGATTTCTCCTTATTTTCTTCATTAAAACCCAAAATTATTAATATCCAAAAATATTTTCTTAGATAAAAAATTAGTATTTTTGTATTTAAAGTTGCATTTACATATATTAATTACGTAAATATTAAATAATAATGACCGGTTAAATAATTTATTTTTTTTTGAATAATAAGCAACAAACCCTTTCTTGTTCTCTTTGCTTCAAGTTTTTTTAGTTTTTTTGCTTCAAGTTTTTCCAAGTTTATTTTTTTGCTTCAAGTTTTTCCAAGTTTATTTTTTTGCTTCAAGTTTTTCCAAGTTTATTTTTTTTAATTAACAATAGGTTGAAATACAAGAAGAATTTTATTAGAGGCTTGTAGCTTAGCATAAGAAAAAAATTTTTTAAACTAAATTAAAATTTGAGATAAGGAGTTATTTAAATGGCCACTTAAGAGCTTTGTTTATTTGACAGATTTTTTGTTTTAAAAATTATTTTAAAAATTTTTAAAAATTTTATTCAATAATTTTTTTCTTTATTTATTTTTTTCTCTCTTTCCCCTCTCTCATAATTTTCCTCATTCCCTCACCTATCGGTCACGTTCTTCTTCTTCCACCACACACCCCTCCCCCACTCTCACCCCTCCCCAACACCCAAAAAATTTTCTCTTCTCGTGTTTTTTGGCCCGGTCACACCTTAAAATTTATTTCCCTCTTTTTTTCAATAATTTTTTTTCTAGCCCTCTTCCCTCTTCTTCCCCTCTCTTCCCCCCTCTTCTTCCCTCTCGGAGTGACTGCTAATATGTATTATATTCCCGCGCAGACGCGTCCCAGTCAATTTATTCCCTCTACGCTTTTTTGTCTTTTTTCTAGCTAATTTTATTTCCAAAAAAACTTTTTTTAACTTGTTTACTTCTAATTGAAACAAATTCAAGTTTTGGGAGGTCGAGAGAATAAAAAAGAAGTTGTTTTTCCAAGTTCTACCCTTTTAAAAGAACACGCGTAACTAAAAAGGGCAAATTGCGAAAAGCTTGGGGAAAAAATAATTAATTTTAAATAACAAAAGAAAATCAACTGAAACAAACGTGTACATTCCCTTTTTAATGTTTTCTGTCCAAAAAATATTGAGAAAATTTTAAAGAAAAAATATTTTTGAAGGAGGATTAGAGATAAGGTGAAAATGAGAGAGACAAAGGGTATTGCTTGCGCGAATGGCTATAAATAATCGATATTTTGAGATAAAAATTTGAAATTTTTGACAAATATCGTTGATAATGTTAACTAATTATTCTGAAAATTTCAGAATTTTTGATTGAGTATTTCAGAAGTTATTAGCAAAAAATCGACGAAAAACGGGATTTTTCGAGAAAATCAGACATTTTCGCCTATAACTTCTGAAATTCTAAACCAAAAATTCTGAAATTTTTAGGATTGTTAGTCAACACAAATGTGAATATTATTGCCAAATTTTACGTTTTTAGGTTGACTCTAAGCTATTTTATAAGCGATCTACTAACACCCTTCTTTCAAAGTCTTCACACACCCCCTCCTCCCCCTCATTTTTTCTCTCTAAATATTTTTTTTATTTTTTTTTCTTTCAAAAATCAACAATACATCCTTCCATTTTATTTTGATTATTTGAATGATTTACAATCTTATTTCCCCTCCTTTTATTTAAAATTAACGGCAACTTTTTCCCTTTATTTTCTTCCATTTTCAGCCTAATCCTTTAAAATATTTTTTTCTTTTGTTTAAAAAATATGTTTTATAAATATAGTAATACTTGGCCAATATTTTTCGGCGAAAAAAAAAATAAAATGTAAGATAATATTTTTATTTTTATATCCTTTTATTGATAGCTTTATTCTTAATTTAATGGAACTTTTTCTTAAAAGTCGGGTCTGTAAAGTGGAGGGAAAAAACCTTTCCTGCGATGGGAGGGTTTTTTTAAACAATACTTACAATTTAGATTTGTATCCAGATCAGGGATGATCGAAATAAAAAAATTTTTTTATTTCGTTTCGGGGCGAAATGAAACGAAATTTCGATCATCCCTTATCCCAATCTCTGATTCCTAACGATTATCCACGATTATCCCCAACCCAACCCAATTTCCCTGTACCCCTACACACCCACCTACGAGCGTTCGAGGTACAGCCCTCCCTCGCATTTTAGTTATACCTCATTTCTACGTTCATTTCAGCTCAAGGGGAGTATTTATAAACAAGGTCCGAATGTATGTTTGATTTTAATTTTATTTCTTATACAGACTACCTTTTCAAATTTAAATTTAAAAATTGTTTACCAATTTTTTCCTCTACACACTTAATCAAACGTCAAATTAGTTATGTATTTTCTTCCCTATTTTTAAATATTTTCTGGGAAGACACAAATCAATTTAAATAATCCTTAACAATAAAGAAGGAAGAAAGGGCATTTTTTTCTTATTTTTTTCTCATTCTCATTCAGGATCAACCCCTTATTTCCTTCCCTCCTCTCATTAAGTTTTTCCCTTTTAAAAGAATGCCAAGGTCAGTGGCAATTTTTTGAATTATTTAAAAATAAAGTGGTTAATTTTCCCTTAAAAGTAGTTGATTGACACAAATGATTACCTATTTATATTTATTTTTGCTTTGTTTTGTTGATTTTGTTTTAAGTATGCACTTATACATGAAGCAAAGGGAGGGAAAAAATTATAAAGGAAGCTTAGCGCACAAAAGGAAGTAGTTGGATGGCATTTACTTTTTTTTTTTAAAAAATATTTCAGAAAAAATATTTTTTTGCCCTAAACACCTTTTGTAGTTTTAGGCAAAATAATTAGGGAGAAATTATTTGTAATCTTATTTTTAAATAAAATTTTTGGAATTTAAAGGATTAGTAGTTTGTAAAGCATGTTAAATTCCTCTGTTTTCTAAGGCTACTTTTAAATTACAAAATAAATATGTAGTTTTAATGTTTGGTCATTTAATGATTTTTAAGAGGATTTATTTAATAATTGGGAAAAATAAGTTTCTAAATATTTAAATGGAAATTTATTTTGATACTTTTTTGAATATTCGAATATTTTATTAATTTAATTTTCTTTTTTTTTCCAATTTAATTTAAAAAAATTATTTTTTGGCACGATACAAGATCGAAAAAAAAATTATATGAAAATAGCTATTGAAATATTTCTAGAGTTTTATTTTGCGATACCTACTAAATCATTAATATTGATATCAAATAGAGTTGGGCGTGATCGGAAAGGTCGGAATGGGCGGGTTTTTTGACTCCCGATCCCGTAGTCGGGATTTGGATTTGATCCGGAGTCACATCGATCCCGCAGTCAACATCATTCCAAAATCCCGATCCAAATTTTATGTGAGGATCCCGATCCCGTCCAACCCTAATATCAAACACTAATTTAAACTTTAATAAATTAAATTTTAATAAATTTAATTTAACAATGTGTGTGTGGTTGTTTTTGTCTAAAAAATTATTATTTTTTTCGTTTTCCTTTTAATTCTTTATTTTTTGTTTGTTTTTTAACCTTGACTATTAAACTACTAAAATGACCAAAATTAAAAACAACCGCAACAAAACGAGTTATTTTTTTATTTTAAAATATTTATTTATTTTTTTATTTATTTTTAAATAATTCCTTTGAAATTTTTATTTTTAATTTCTCGAATTTACTAGGAAAAATTACTGGAACAAAACATAAACACAAATTATAAAAAGTCAACTACTTCCAAAAATTGCTTTAGGGCTTTTTCTTGTTGCGCGAATGTACTTTTCTTTTAGAAATTGAAAAAAAATATATTTTTGTTCTTTTATTTATGGCCTAAAAATAAGAAAAAATATTTGAAAAATAAAAACACGAGAAAATTAAAATTATTTAATTAATAATTAATTTAGAAAGCGACCGTATGTTGTGTTTTCTTTTTACTAGATAGATTTTAAGAAGACCCCAAAATCTTCGTAAACCTTAATTTAAATGGGATTTTTTCTAAATAATTTTTTCAAATTTTTTATAATTAATTAACTGTTTTACTGTTTCTTCTCTAAATTAAAATAGGCGTTATCCGCAAAATATTTCTTCGTCCGCAAATATGAGGATTTTTTGCTTATATGTATTTCCGATTTTATTTTTTCTTGACATTCCTTCTAATATTATTTTAAATTTAAAGAAAAATTTTTTCTAATGGAAATTCAAATTTTTTTCTGACTTTTTAAAAAAAATATTTTCAAAACCACTTTCCCAATTTTCTATCCAATCCTCCCCTCGTTTTTAAAAAAATTTATTTTTACAGTAATTCTCATGAGAAAAGGGTTGGCCTTTTAAATATAGACTTTGACCAATCTCTTTTTTTATTTTTTTTACTCCCCCTATTAAACTCTCCAAACACTTTTCACATCTTTCCTTTTTAACAAAGAAAAATTGTCGCGCCACAAAATGTTTAGAAGAAGAGGTGAATAATAATAAAGAAAAAGTTTAGCGCAAATTTCGCTTTCTAAATCCGATAACATTTTCTACTTAAATGGGACAAACTTGTATTTATTTTTAGCTAAACATGTTGCGCAGCATGGGATGTTTTGTGTTTTAGCGACCTTTTTATGTTTGTTCCATTAATTTGTGTTTCTTGTGTTTTCTAGATGTTTTATTCGTTTTTGTGTTTTTCCAAGTTTGTTTTGATGTTTTTATTTTTTGAGTTTTACAACAAACACAAAAATTATTGTGTTTTACATTAAAACTTAATGTTTTGTGTTTTACAATAAATGTTTTAATCAAGTTTTTAGATGTTTTTGTGTTTTCTTTTTTCTTTTTTTCTTGTTTTTGTGTTTGATGTTTCTACAAACATGTATTTTTATTTTCTCTTTTGTTTTATTTGTTTCTAAAAGTTTTTGGTGTTTTTCAATATGTTTTATTCATAATTTGTTTTGTCATGTTTTATTCATGTTTTTAACTTGTAAAACACAAACTTCTTTTTTAAATTTAATTTCCAAACATAAACATGTTTGTATTTTTTCATGTTTTCCTAAAATTTGTTTTTCAAACATTACAACATTTAAATATTTCCAAAACATATTTTTAAAACTTAAAAAGAAAATGAATAATTATGCGCAGCTTGAAAAATAAAATACACAACAAGTTTTTGTTGATGGATTGAGTTTTGGGGTTTTAAAGGAAAATGAATTGACACGTTCATGTTAATCGTTGACTTTTTTTCTAAATTTTTTTAAAAATATTTTTTAAGATTAATTTATTCACTTAATTTTTTTTATTTTATTCGAACAAAATTTTGAGAAAATAAAATTTTAAATTAATTTTAATTTCAGATTTTCTTCAATATCCCAAAGATTTAACTAAGCTAACTAGTAACCATCTATAGAAAAAATGGAATAAAGAAAGCAGAAATTCTGATGTTGTAAATACCCAAAAAAATTCCTTAAATTTTTCTAATCATTAAAATTCAATTTGGTAAATTTGATCTTTAACTTAACCCAAAATATTATTAAAATAATTTTTAAAATTTTTGCGGGAAGAGAAGACCCCCCAAAAATATATACTACCATTTTACTTCTTCTCTCAAATGATTTAACCCCGAAAATTTTATATATTCTTCAATCTTTTGCCTTTTCCAGAGATTTCTTTCATTTATTTGTGACAGATAACCCAGAAACACTTTAAATAATTTGTAAATCTTTTTCTTCTTTTTACTTTAAATCATACATATATCCCCTATTTGGCGCCGGTTGGGAGGGTTTTTTGGTTTAAATAAAATATTTTTGGATTTATTTTTAATATTTAAAATTGTTAAGATAATAAGGGGTGTTTTGGCGTGTTTTTAGCTTGGACGGGAGCCTTTGAGAGCTTATAAAACTAACCAATGAATACCTACGGGCTTGAGATTTTTCCTGGATATCTTCAATAGTGAAAATTAACCTTCAAAAAATTTCAGAATTTCTGGTTTTTTATTTAAAGAGTTATGGCCAATAAACCAGAATATTTCGAGTAAACATCGACTTTTTGTTGGTTTTTTGACTATAACTTTTGAAATAATAAACCAAAAATTCTGAAATTTTTAATTAAATTAGACAACATATTTGTGAATATTCAACCATAGTTTCGTAGAAATAGGTTCATTCATTTTGGAGATAACCTAGTTTGCGCCAAAACTTTTACTGCGCCCAAAAAGTTAATCCCCCCTCTTCTTCCCTTCTAAATGTTTTTAACTGGAATGAACGGGATGCCACACATCCAATAAATAAGTATATCTACTAGCTTTTCGGGATTGCGCCATTTTTCCTCTATATCAACCCAATTATATATCATCTTTTCTTCTCCCCGTTCGCGCACTTGTATTTAATTATTTAATTAATTTTGATTTGAAAAAAATTTTTTTCCTGGAACTGAAATTATTAAAATTTACAAAAAAATATTCAAAAAATTCAAAATTTGCGTGTTTCAATTTCTCCGTATTTATTTCTTACCTTAAAACCCAAATTTAAAATTTTTCTATAAATAAAATTATTTTTTAAAAATAAAAATGAAACATTTGCGTAGTTGAAACTTTGCGTGTCAAATACAAAATTTGTTGATTATTTATTTTTAAGGAAGTTTCCGGTTTATTCTTAATTTATTCTAATTATAAATTAAAATATTTAAATTTATTTTTTTTAATAATTTTTGTTCAGTTATTTTTTGATTCCTTAAATTATTTTATTTTATTATTTATCTCCTTGGAGTCTCCTCCTTGTCCTCCCTTACCTCTTTGACGCAAAATTAAAAATCTCCATCTAAACAATACCTATCTCTCTATAATTTTCTACAAAAATATTTCATAGTGTTAGCTACCTCTCCTGAAAATTTCAGAATTTCTGGTTTTCTATTTCAAAAGTTATGGCAGACAATCCGGTTAAAAAGCGTCATTTTCTCGAAATATTCTGATTTTTTGACCATAACTTCTGAAATAATAAATCAAAAATTCTGAAATTTTTAGACTGATTAGTTAACAGTATTGAGAGTATCCATACAAAATTTCTTGAATTTAGGATCACATTTAGCAATTTTATAGGCTTTGGTGTAACCCCCTTTCTTCCCTTATCCCTCTATTAATTTAAAAGCTTTTTTAATTAAATTAATTAATTAATTTTCTTTTTTTTATAATTTTTTAGTGTCTATCAAACAAAAACAAAAAAATTAATAAACTTTTCATTCGTCATTATTTTAAATATTTATTTATTATTTTACCTTCGATCGACCTTCAAACACACCTATTTTTTCAATATTTTTCTAAGTACTTAAAAAGGAATTTAATTTTTTTATTGACAAAAAAACAACTAAAAATTATTAACGAGAAGGGAAGATTATTGGAAGATAAAAAGTAATTAATTAATAATTAAAATCTCTATCATATCACTGTGAGGATATAGAAGGGATAAAACATATTTTTTGATCATTCACATTAGAGATCGGTCTGTATCTGGATCCAGTCTGGATTTTTGCTGGATCCAGGGTCCGGATACACCATTTTTTGATCGTCCTGGATTTTTTCTGGATCCAGATCAAGAATCCTGTCCAGGTTACCGATCTCTAATTCACATATCACTATATATCCACTCTCTCAGTTATCCCTCATAATCCCTCAAAATAGGGATAACTGAGGGCTTCCTTATCACGATACTAAAGTCTCTTATCTCATCCCAAGGAATGATAAGTCAGAAATTTTGCTTATTTTTTGTATAGAATTATCAAAATCTGTCAGATAGCCTTTCTCAACTAGGGAATTACTTGGACTTTTGGAGGGGGATTAGATAAGAAGGGAGTTGAGGGACATGAGAGAGGTTGAGGGTGTTCCCTAATAATCCCTCTTGAAGGATCTAATAATTTACCTGACTAATTTAAATTTTAAAAATTTAAATTATTTTAATTCAATAATTTTTTTATTTTAGCTTATTGGCCAAAAAAATATTTAATTTAAAAATTAAAAATCAAAGTGGCTACCCAACTAAAAATGTTGGTAGGCGCGGATGGGGAGAAGGCAGCTTCTAGTAATTTAAATAGCCCTAGAAATGTTGTTCCTGGTAAATACTTAATTTTAATTTAAATTTAAATTAAAAATAATTTAAAGGTTTAATCCCAAAAATAGAACAACAACAACAAAATTTAAATGATTCCCCTTCCCCTTTTTTTCTCCCCACACATTTCCCTGAAATGCCTGGTGCCGCTATGTTTTTTGGTGCTGCTGATTTTAACCCTGCTCATTGCTTTAATGATGGAAATCCTAAGTGAGAAAATTAAAAAAAATATTTTTAGAAGAACCCTCTCTAATAAACAGGCACTCTAAACTTGAACTGAACCTCTCTATCTTATCCTACCCTTAATATAATAAATTAGGGGAACCCCCATTGATACTGTCTCATTTCTTCTGATATCTGAAAATGGAGGTGGGATAAGTTAGAATAATTAAGAGGTTTCTTTAGTTGTCACGTTAAATGAAAATTTAAAAACTCAATTCTTCCCCATAATCTACCCTATATACCTCTTAGCAATAATATCCGCTATATAGAGGGTTTCCTTAAAAGTTCATTATAGAGGTTTTTAAAAATTATTTTTTAAAGTCTTGACTTGGCAGCCTTTTACGCAGCACAACAACAAATGTTTTGGCCTAATGCTGATGATTTAAAAATTGTGAATACAATGAATGAGGGAGTAATGGATGAAGAAACTGCTAAATTATTTGAACAACAAGTAAAATTTAGAGGAAAAAAATTTGAAAAAATTTTTTAAAATATTTTTTTAGATAGCTGAACATTCTGCTGCAATTGTTGGTCAGTCTCTTCCTTCTGAGAATGATCCAACATCAAATATTTCTTCTGTGCCTCTTTTATCTAACAATAATTGGCCTGATCAAATACACAAACAGGCATGTTTGGGCGCGGGAATGTTTGGGCGCGAATGCTTATAAAATTAGCCTAAGGAGTACAAAAATTGTAGAAATTTTCTCAGATTGTTCATAATATTGTTATCTAACATGTCCAAAAATTTTAGAATTTTTGGTTTAGTATTTGGGAGGTTATGGTCGAAAATGTCGGTATTTTAGTGAAAAATCCGTATTTTTGTTAGTTTTTTGGCCATAATTTAAAAATTAATGGATCAAAAATTCTGAAATTGGTAATATTCAATTTCGTTCCCCCCCCCCCCCTCCTTTTTTCCATCCTCAAAGTATTTAAAAATGGTCAGTCGACTTAAGTTATAGAACTCGTCGAGCTGAGTCGAATGACACCAAATTCAAAAAAATCCGACTTGATTTGACCGAAATACAGACCCCTGAAAATTGAACAACCATAGGGGCGAAAAACCAAAAGGACGAAAAAGTATACAAATGTTAGCTCATTCGAAAGAGCTCGTCGAGCTGAGTCGAGTGATATCGAAATCAACGTAATCAGACGAGTTTTGACAAAGTTATGACATAAGGTTGCCGACTCCGGTAGGTCTAAATAATGCCATAACTTTGTCAAAACTCGTCCGATTACGTTGATTTCGCTGTCATTCGACTCAGCTCGACGAGCTCTTACGAATGAGATATCATTTGCATAAAAAATTTTTATTCTAAAAAATCACCCCTATGGTTGTTCAATATTTAGGGGTCTGTATTTCGGTCAAATCAAGTCGGATTTTTTTGATTTCGATATCACTCGACTCAGCTCGACGAGTTCTATAACTTAAGTCAGACTGACCATTTTTAAATACTTTGAGGATGGAAAAAAGGAGGGGGGAACGAAATTGAATATTACCCTGAAATTTTTATCGTTGCTAGATATATCTATTGAGAATATCTGTGCAAAATTTTATCCCCCTAACCTTTCTTTAGGCAATTTTATAAGGCTCGCCGTAACATTACATTTCAGTTAAAATATATTTTAAAATCCCTTTCTTATTTTCAGCCTTTCCAGCCATACACAAATGCAACAAAATGTAAAAAATCGGGAAATCATATCAAAAGGCCTATGAATGGTTTTTCCAATTTGGAAATTAATTTTTTAATAAAAAATATTTTTAAGCATTTATGGTATGGTCACGTGATGAACGTTTAAAAATTTGTAGTGTTCAACCAGACAAACATAATGCTGAAATTAGTAAAGAGGTAAAAAATAAATTTAACCTCTCAAGATTGTACATAAAATAGAGGTTTTGTATTCAACTCTCGTTTATAGCGACCCTCTTAATTATGCTCATTTCAATATAAGCGACTTTTCTTTCGTTCCAATCTTCCAGTTCACAGTAAAGAGGGGAATTCCGTTATAGGCGACCTTTTCTAATGCATTCAAGTCGCTACTAATGAAAGTTGATTATATTGGGGATTTTCTAGTTCCTATCTTTTACTCAAATAATTTTTAATTTAAAGTTGGGCTTTCGCTGGAAAAGTATGACTAAAGAAGACAAGAGGCCATATGAAATAAAGGCCGAGGAATTGAGGCAGTTACATTGTTTGGAATATCCAGACTATAAATATAGACCTAGAAAGAAGGTAAAATTGGAAATTAAAAAAATTTTAAATTTATCTTTAAAGATTAAAAAACAAGACAGTCAAAAGCCTCAATTAACTATACAAAAAGATAGGGAAAGACTACCTTTGAATAGAAGCGCCAATGGGATAAATATGAGAAGGTAAAATATTTAATTGAATATTTAAAAGTAAAACCTTTGCTATCAATAAAAGCTCTCAATAAAAGGTTCATGATTGGATCTGTGTCCGCAATTATTGTCCGCAATTATTTTTGCGGACAGTCCGCAATTATTTTGCGGACCTATAAAAATTTTTTTTCTACAGTCCACTATAAGGAGTATAAGGAGGCCACTATAAGGAGGGGTCATTAATTTAAAAATATTTATTTTTTAAAGCAATAACAACAACACTAACAACAACACCAATAATTACCAGTCCTTTCTAAATTATGGCGCCCCTATAGAAAATAGAGGACAACAACCATTTGAACAACATTTAGACACCAAACAACAACAACAATATTTCCACCAGACACAACAAACATTGTTTGAAGAAACACAACAATTAATGCAAGAAACATCTCCACATTTCCAACAAACTTCTCTATTAAATTCTTCTTTAAATTCTCCCCAACAAACTATTCAAACACAACAATTCTTTACAGGGTTTGCGGATACTGGTATGTTTGGGCGCGGAAATGTTTGGGCGCAAACGCTTATAAAATATTCAAATGAGCTCCTAAATTTATGAAATTTGGCATATTTGTGCTCAATAATGTTAACTAGCTCTGCTAAAAAATTGAGAATTTTTGGTTATATATTAGAGGAGTTATGTTTGAAAATGTTGAATTTTTAAGGAATTTTGTCGTTTATTGTGAATTTTTCTCGCATAACTTTTAAAATACTTCTCCAAAAATTCTAAAATTATGAGACAAGTTAATTAACACTATCGAGAGTATCTCTGCAAAATTTCACGTTATTAGAAGCTCATTTGACATTTTTATGTTTAAATTTGTTCCGTCACAACCTCCATCAATCATTCTATCTTTTCCCTATTAATTTTTAAAATTTAAAAAAAGCAGCCTCAACTAGCGGTGTTCAAAATCAACATAGTACATATTCAGCTTATAATCCCCCACAAATACCACAACATTCATCACCAGTTTCCTTCCAAATGCCAAGCATTTCAGGCTTAGTAGTTCCACAACAACAACAGCCTTCAACAATGCAATCTAGTAATGAAAGGCAAATTTATGGACAAACAGAACAACAACAAATTGGTAAATAAATAATTTTATTTATAAATATCGAACAAGGTTAACAATAGGTTAACTTTAGTGAAAATGCCTTACGGGAATGGGGGAACAATTTTTTAATTGCGGGGATATATTTCTAAAAAAGCGGGGATAGATAGCAGCATCTCTCTTAGAGTTGGGGGCCCGATCCGGCCCGGTCCAAAAGATCGAGTCGGGCATTGAATTTTGGCCCGATAAAGATTTGGTTAAGCCGGCCCGATAAAAATGAGACCCGAAAAAATGACCCGAACGTCGTTCCGACTCGAAAACCCCAACCCTAATCTCTAACATTTTTTAAAGACAGGATTAATTTTGGATATAAAACACCATCCAAAGATTTATTTGAAATTTAAATTAATTTCTCCCCTTTTCTAGGTGTTTTCCCATCTCAACAACCGGTCCAACAATTTTATTTAATTGACCAATAAGTTGAATTTTTAGATAAAAATTTTAGTTTTGTGATTCCCTTCTTTTATTCTTCCAAAAACTCCAAAATTTTATGTAAAAATCCAAAAATGATTCAAATTCTGGAGAAAAAAGGAGGAGAAATACAAACTAAATAAGAACTTAGCTTTCTTTTTGTAAATTTTAATTATTTGTATTAATCGAAATTTGTATTTTTTTATTTTTAAAAATATTTTTTTCTCTATATTTCTTGACCTTCTATAGCATTTTTGTATTTATTTATTTAAAAATTAGTTTAAAAAATGATTATTTTAAATTTCAAAAAATTGTTGTTAAGATCCTTTGGATTTATCAAAAAAAATTTTTTTCACTTCCTTAAAGGATCCAACAATTTTTTTCTAAAAATTAATTTAGACCCGATTTTTTTTATTTTTGACCTCATTTAAAAAATAAAATTTTCTTTCAAAAAATAAACTTTTCTTTAAATCTGCCCTATAAAAACGATTAAATTCACTGCTTTTATATACTTTATTTTAAATTTTTGTTGAATAAATTTTATGATATTGTAGTAAATATTTTGGGAATTATAGTTAAAAAATATTAAAAAATTTATAATTTTCTAATTTCAAAAACAAAAAAATATATAATTTAATAATCAAAACTGGCAGTATATTTAAAATAGTCAGAAAGCAAAGATAAAAATAAAATTATAAAAAAAGTCAAGACCTAATAGTAAAATTATTAGAGAAGGATTGGAATGGTATTTTGAAATAAAATTTTGAAAATAGAGGATGATTTTTAATATAAAATTTAATCCAAAATTTGACAAAATAACTAGAGAGCAAGATTTTCAAAAAAACGTGACCTTGATTCTTGATTTTAGTTGAGTACCTTGACCAGATTTTTGACCTTGAGTCAAGGAAAAATCAAAGAACTCTGAAAAATGCCTTGATCTGAACTCTGGATCCAGATCCAGCCCGCTCTCTAAAAATAATCAGACGTCTTCAATAATTTCTGAAAAATACAGGGAAAATGTGAATCAAATCGAAAACCCCTTCCAAACACCCTCAAAAAATTCCCGTTCTCTAATAAAAATAAGTATGTTTAATTAAATAAGTTTTCTCTCTTTAAATTTTCTTTTTGTTTTTTAAATAAAAAATTCTTTTTTTAAATAAAATTATTAAGAGGGTCATCCGGAACAGATTCATTAAACACTTCTTCCTCACCCTCTTCTTCCAATCCATTTTCATAAATTTCATCATCTTCATTTTTATAATTTTCTTCTTCTTCTTCCTCCTTTTCTTCATCTTTTCCATACATTTCTTCTTCATCTGCAATAGGATCCATTTTTACTCCACAACTATTTAAAAATCCTCCATGAAAACGACAATAATAAATAAACCTTTAAAAAAAGAATTTTCTTTGAATTATTGCAAAAAATTAGGCAAGGAGGTAATTTTGAGACATTTTGAGGTATTAGAAAAAAATATATTCTATAAAGGACTTGCAACTAATTTTAGAAACCCACCAAAGAAAATTATGGTCTAGTAATTGGTGAGATATTGAAGGGCTAAATGATGGTCTTACATGTTAGATAGATATAAAAACAACTTGTATGGGAATGAATAAAACTGGAAATTTTCTACTATATGGAATGAGTAAAAAAAAGATGAGTTAAAAAGACGGCATCTTTGTGGAGATAAAGAAGACTATTTATAACTGTTATTCATCCCCTCCCAAAAATAATTTATTTTTATTTTATTAAATTTACTTTTTCCATGTTGCATGTAAAGATAATAAAGCTTCATTTCCTATAATTATAAGCAGATACTTTGCTCGACTAATTGAAGTATTTATCCTCTAAAAATATCAAAAATATTCAAATAAAATTTTTAAAAAAATTTTACCAAATCACAACGTAGAAAACCCAAATCATATTGCCTAACCATTGACATAATAATTACTTCCCTTTCAGAACCCTTGAAAATTAAAAAAAAATTTTCAAGTTTAAAATTTTTAAAAATACCTGAAATCCCTCAACAGAATCAACAGTAACACCAGGAAATGAAGCTAACATAACTCTTAAACGAAGAACCTTGAAAAAGATTTTTCGAATTTTTCAGAATTTTCTTTTAAAATTTTGCCTGATTTTTGTAGGGAGAAATAACCCCAATGTCCTTTTCTTGTGTATTTGTTTCAGCCAAAATTCGTTGTACATATTTACATACTAGATTAGCTTCAAAAGTATTTTGATGTGATTTATTAACTCCTTGTTCATCTTCACTGCCACGAGAAGAATGGAAAATTATTGGGAAACCCTAAAAAATGAGTAAAATGTTAAAAAAGACAGGAAGGAATAAAAAACGGGATAGATAAGGGAGGGAAATGTGGGATAATTAGAGGGATACCTAAGAGCTTCTCTTATTGAGCTGTGAGATAAGTGAGAGAATGAGGAAGAGCAAAAAGTAAAAGCTTGAGATATGTGAGAACAGGATAAGCGAGTAAGGGGTCAATGACTGTGATAAAAGAGCAAATTTAGACCTTAAACAATGTCAGATTAAGTATTAAAAAAACAACTGGCTAGCATTTAAAATTGCTTATTAGGCGAGTCAAGCTCTTCTGGTAGCTCAATCGGTAGAACACTCGCGATGCCTCTACTTTAGTTTAAAGCTTATTTTAGCAAACGATTTTTTCATCCCCAAGGTTCAACACCAGAGCTGTCCGCAATTGGAAAAAAAATTTTCCGTAGCCGCAAGCCAAAAAAAACACGCAATCCGCAATTGCAAACAGCCCTGTCTAAAGAGATTTCTGTTTAAAAGAATTAATTTATTTACTTCCTTTCTTATCCCATCAAAAAAAATTTTAAATAGAATATTTAATTTTAAAACAAAAAATATATAATTTAATAATCAAAACTGGCAGTATATTTAAAATAGTCAGAAAGCAAAAATAAAAATAAAATTATAAAAAAAAGTCAAGGCATAAAATAATAGTAGAATTATTAGAGAAAGGATTGGCAAGGTCTTAAGGTTCTAATAAATTTTGAAAATAGAGAATGATTTTTAATATAAAATTTAATCCAAAAAATTTGACAAAATAACTAGAGAGCAAGATTAGAAAAAAAACCTTGACCTTGATTTTGATTGGGTACCTTGACCAGATTCTTGACCTTGTGTCAAGGAAAAATCAAAGAACTCTGAAAAATGCCTTGATCTGGACTCTGGATCCAGTAAAAATCAGGGTCTGGATCCAGATCCAGCCCGCTCTCTAAAAATAACCAGACGTCTTCAATAATTTCTGAAAAATACAGGGAAAATGTGAATCAAATCGAAAACCCCTTCCAAACACCCTCAAAAAATTCCCGTTCTCTAATAAAAATAAGTATGTTTAATTAAATAAGTTTTCTCTCTTTAAATTTTCTTTTTGTTTTTTAAATAAAAAATTCTTTTTTTAAATAAAATTATTAAGAGGGTCATCCGGAACAGATTCATTAAACACTTCTTCCTCACCCTCTTCTTCCAATCCATTTTCATAAATTTCATCATCTTCATTTTTATAATTTTCTTCTTCTTCTTCCTCCTTTTCTTCATCTTTTCCATACATTTCTTCTTCATCTGCAATAGGATCCATTTTTACTCCACAACTATTTAAAAATCCTCCATGAAAACGACAATAATAAATAAACCTTTAAAAAAAGAATTTTCTTTGAATTATTGCAAAAAATTAGGCAAGGAGGTAATTTTGAGACATTTTGAGGTATTAGAAAAAAATATATTCTATAAAGGACTTGCAACTAATTTTAGAAACCCACCAAAGAAAATTATGGTCTAGTAATTGGTGAGATATTGAAGGGCTAAATGATGGTCTTACATGTTAGATAGATATAAAAACAACTTGTATGGGAATGAATAAAACTGGAAATTTTCTACTATATGGAATGAGTAAAAAAAAGATGAGTTAAAAAGACGGCATCTTTGTGGAGATAAAGAAGACTATTTATAACTGTTATTCATCCCCTCCCAAAAATAATTTATTTTTATTTTATTAAATTTACTTTTTCCATGTTGCATGTAAAGATAATAAAGCTTCATTTCCTATAATTATAAGCAGATACTTTGCTCGACTAATTGAAGTATTTATCCTCTAAAAATATCAAAAATATTCAAATAAAATTTTTAAAAAAATTTTACCAAATCACAACGTAGAAAACCCAAATCATATTGCCTAACCATTGACATAATAATTACTTCCCTTTCAGAACCCTTGAAAATTAAAAAAAAATTTTCAAGTTTAAAATTTTTAAAAATACCTGAAATCCCTCAACAGAATCAACAGTAACACCAGGAAATGAAGCTAACATAACTCTTAAACGAAGAACCTTGAAAAAGATTTTTCGAATTTTTCAGAATTTTCTTTTAAAATTTTGCCTGATTTTTGTAGGGAGAAATAACCCCAATGTCCTTTTCTTGTGTATTTGTTTCAGCCAAAATTCGTTGTACATATTTACATACTAGATTAGCTTCAAAAGTATTTTGATGTGATTTATTAACTCCTTGTTCATCTTCACTGCCACGAGAAGAATGGAAAATTATTGGGAAACCCTAAAAAATGAGTAAAATGTTAAAAAAGACAGGAAGGAATAAAAAACGGGATAGATAAGGGAGGGAAATGTGGGATAATTAGAGGGATACCTAAGAGCTTCTCTTATTGAGCTGTGAGATAAGTGAGAGAATGAGGAAGAGCAAAAAGTAAAAGCTTGAGATATGTGAGAACAGGATAAGCGAGTAAGGGGTCAATGACTGTGATAAAAGAGCAAATTTAGACCTTAAACAATGTCAGATTAAGTATTAAAAATAAAATATTAAAAAATTATTTTCTTATAACTATTCCTTTCAATAATTTACCGAAGATTGATTTGACAACAAAAAATAAATTTAAAATTGTTGTCAAAGTACATCTTCGAATTGTTAAAAATAAAATTTAAAAATATTATCGGGCACTTAAGTTCCCGAAAAAATTTTATTTTAAAGATTAACGGCCACGTAAGTCCCAAAAAATAATTTAAAATTGGAAAAAACCTTTGTAGGTAATCCTTCCCAATCAGAAAGTTTATAAAAATTTCCTTGTCTATCATCAACAATTAACATATTATCATAAAATAAATAAGAACAAGGCCTCAAAATATTATAATGTGAACGATATGTTTGGCGTAGAATAACAAAAAATCTTCTAAAATTTTTTTGAAATTTTTTAATTAAAAAATCTTTAAAAAATACTCGTCAGACGAATCCTTGTACATTTCAGAATGCATAATTCTTTTAAGCATAGAAATATCAAAACCAAACCATTTCATTGAATTTACATTTAGAACTGGACCTAATTGCATTGGATCGCCTGCCAAAACGACAGAGGTTTCTTTTCCAACAAGTCCTCCTTTAAAAAAGGAATTTTATTTTTTAATTAAAACTTATCTTTAAATCAATTGATTTTTAACATTATATGCAAAAGAGTACATATACCGATGGAATTAGAACTGTTCCGAGACAAAAAATCGACGAAAATATATTAAAATATCGAAGAAATATTTTCCAAAAATTCGAAAATCAAAAAAAAGCTTCAAAATTCGAAACAGCTCTGGAGGGAATAGATCTAAACTTATCACATTTTAAGATTAAACTCCATATCCGAGCATGCTTTTTTTCCTTTTCAACACAAAAATTCCCAAGATTAGAACAATTAACCTTATATAACATCCCACTCACTCTCAAAAAAAAAGAAAGAATCGAAAAAAGTAGCTGATATGGAATACTAAATAAGCTACAAAAAATCTTCGAGAAAATGATAAACAAAAAAATAAATAGAAGAGCATATGTATCTTTAACTGTTTTCACTCTAACCTTCTTCTTATTTTTTTAGAAAATTAAAAAAAATAACAAACCTATAGGAATCCAAACTTCTGATTCTAATGCCTGACCAGCTTCATCAACAATTATATGTCTAAAAAATTCAAAATTAGAAAAATAAAATAAAAAGAAAACAAACGTAAAATAATCCCTTAAACCGCCAGCCAAAATTAGATAAGATGAAGTAGCTAATGTTGCAATTATTACACGAAACATTTTTAAATTTAAACGATCAGGAATTCCAAAGAAACGGTGTTTGGCTTCTTTTCTATAAAATTTAAAAATTATTTTTAATATCTGTAAAGGATATCTCTTGGAAAATTTAGGGGCTTAGGCAAGATTAAAAAAATCATCTAGATAATTAAAGGAGAATGCTTTATCAAAAAAATGATAAATGACAGGAAAATTCAGAAGTCGTCGAAAATTTTTCCTCACAAGGAACCATATCGAACTGTCACCAAGAATTTTGTAATTATTTTTATACCATCTTGTAGAGCAGGTTCGATTTCCTATTGCCAGTTTTTTTCTTTTTCGGCCCTACCCCCAAATCGGAAAATTATAGGGCTTCAAAGTTTTCGACTTTTGAGCGGTCGCCCTCACTTTTCGTGTTATTTGGTTTCCTGTCAGAATTACTCGAATGTTGAATAAAAAAATTTTTTAACGCAAAAAGCTTTAAGGGAGGATGAACTAAAAATATAATAAACAAGAGGAATCCATGCCTTTAAAAATAAAAAAACTTACGCTAAATAAGATATCGGGTCCAATTTTTTATTTCGACTGTGTGCCATCGTTGCTTAAAAAATAATTTTTATATTTTTAAAAAATACAAAAAAAAAACAAACATAAAGAGTGCATTCTAAAAATATATTTGTGTTCCAAAAAGTCATGTTGTAAAAGAGCTTCAGCAAAATTATCAGCAGCCATTTTACTTGGAGTACAAACCAAAATACGATTTTGGGATGATTGAAGGACTAAATGTCTAATTGATTCAATTAAAGTAATTGTTTTTCCAGTTCCTAAAATTGAAAAAAAATGTCAAAAAATTAAAAAAATATTTTTAAAAACCTGGAGGTCCAAATAAAACAAACGGCCATGGATGGTGTTCTTTATTGACAATTGAGAAGATGGCGTTTTTCTGTAAAATTAAAAAAAAATTTTTATTTCAAGAAGTTGGGAAAAGAAAGCTATCGAAATAAGAAAAGATAGAAGAATAGATACAAGTGATTCTGTCAAAAAATTCTTTCCTGACCAATTTTATTTTTGACTAGGATAAAATGTTAAGGTGTTCTAATAAATATGGATAAATTGATGTTGGGGACATATCCCATTGTCCAATGTCCCCATTCTAATGAACGAATAATTAATCAACTAACTTGTTCTTCATTATAGCTATGATCAGCTTCTTCTCGAAATGGCATTGACAACAATTCAACAGCTCTGCGCGTTCGAAACTCTTCAAGGGTCTAAATAATATTTTCTTCGTAAATATTTTATTTTTAAAAAACCTCAGTAAATTCAGGCTTAGGATAAATTATTTGATCCATATTTCTTCTACTTCCACAATTTGCCAATATCCATTCTAATGAACGAAGTTGTGAGCGATAAACAAAAGCAGAACTATTAATTGACACATTTACCTAAAAAGAAAAGAATTTTATTTTTTCAAATAAAAATTTATAAAATTTTATTACATTATTGCTCAACGCCAAAATTCGAGAAAGCCGTAAAGGATCGACAAAAAATAGAACAATGCTTTGACTTGAAGGATTGACTTGTTCTATAACTGCCTATTTAAGGAAAAAAATTTTTTTTATTAAAAAAAAATAGAAAATCGTGTTCAGAAGGGACGAACTTTTGGCATTTTGTTTAAATAGTCCAAAAGCAGATACCCTCCTAAAATTTTCTTTAGCTCACTTTGTAGACCGAACTTTCAAATTATTTAATTAGTTCAGTAGATTAAGCGAGCAACAAAATAATAATCAAATTCACTACCAACTTAACCACAAAGAACGTTAAAACTTTTTCTAAAAATATAGTTAAAAAATAATTTACATTAGCATATAATTTTCCATCAGAGACAGAACGTACTGAAACGTGAAGGCCTGTAGTTAAAACATCGTCATCAAATGTTCGGCGTGGTATTTTTATCTAAATTGAGAAAAATGTAAAAGTTTAAAAATCTTTCCAAGATTTAAAGATCCTTCCCTTAATAAGGGATAAGAAGTAAATTTCGTTTAAATTATTCATTAATTTCTTTTAGGAAATTATCTTAATCTAGAGTAAAAAATCGTTAAAGAAAACCTCATAAAGAGAATCATCATCAGTACCATAAGGTGCGATTTTAACTTTTTGTAACATAATTTTAGCATCTTGCATAGCACCCTTAAAAAAATTTTTTTTAATTAGAAAATTAAGAGAAAACAAACTCCATCAAATGCCCAAGCAATATAAATAAATATTCTCAATTTTTCGGCTAAAGAAGGCAAATCACAAGCAATTTGTTGTAATTTTTCCAAAATTGGTGCAAATGAAGGGTCATCTACCAAATCATTTTCCTTTAAAAAAATAATTTTTAATTAAAAAAATTTTTTAATTACGGAAAATGTACTTCCCAATTCTTGATATTCTGTTGGAAGTACAAGTGCACGATTAAAGTCCTTATAGAGAAGTAAACCACCACGAATTCTATAATTGAAAATTAAAGAGATAATGATTTCGATAATGAAAATTCAAAATTTTTTTTGCCGTAAATGAAAATTCTCAAGGTCTGAGATCGTAAAAAATTTGTAATTTTTGTCCGCAATTTTTCAGACGAATTGCGGACAAAATTTGCAAATTTATTTGCGAACTTCCCAAAAATACAAGAATAAAAATTACTTTCTAACTCCATCCTTTTGTCGATCTGGCCTTTCCATTGGGTCATCATAAGTAGAAAAATCTTCTTTTAAATAAGTATAGCCATTAACAAATTTTTGTGCTTTAATATTACTTAAAGAACACTTTTAAAATTTTCAAAAAAAATTTTTTATACATATTTTTAGGTTTCCCTCCAGTTGAAGGCTCATCCCTAGCATCATCACTTTCCTGTTGTTGGTTATTTTTGCCATTACTCATTCCTCCAAATTTTTTCCTTCGCTTAGATTTTACGTCCTTAAAATTTTTTAAATTTTTAACCGTCTAAAAAAAGCTAAACCTGAAAATCCCCAAAATCTTCAAATCCATCTGGGGCGGCTCGAGGAGCTGATTGATTTGGTCTGCAGCCACTCCTTCCCCCAAAATCAGCAGATGTTGAAGGCTGATGAAAGCCATTTTGAGTAGCTTTAGGCAGCATTATTCCGGCCTCCACATATTGCTTTAAAACACGATAGGCTTGAGTTATAATCTGAAAATTGTAAAATAAATTCCAAAAAAGAATGGGTTTTTGCAAAAAATTGTCCGAAAACAATCGGCAATATCAAACTGACAACCACATTTTTCCTCCTCAAGTTTCTTCCAATAACTTGCAGAATGGTCAGACTTCTTTCAATTTTCCTTACTTCCATCCAAGGAAGAATAAAAATTAATTCCTCTCGATTGTTTGTAGGCAAGATAAAGAAGGGCAATTTGGATGGAAGAAAGGAAAGTCTGGCCATTCTGCAGATAAACAAACTTGGGGAGGAAGAAATGGGGTCTGTCAGGTTCAATATTACCAAACAATCCTTAAAGAAAAATTTTTTTGAAAAATCCTTAGACCTGTGCTTTTTGAACAGCGCCACCTTTATCCGAATGATGAGCTTTTATTTGCTATTAAAAACAAAATTAACAATTAAATAAATTAAAAAACCTTAAAAAATGCTCTTCTAAGTTCTACCAAATTAATAGTATGTGTAACCTTTAATTCCATCATCATTGACAAAATTTCTTTATCAGTATAGTTGAATTCCTATGAAGAGGAAAATTAAATTAAAATTTCTTTTTAAAGAAAAAAAAATTTTTTAAGTTACCTTACGCAATCCTGACATGTTGAATATTAATATACCCGTAGATCTAATTTATAAAGCTGGCGTTGCAGAATAAAATAAGAGAAATCTGAAAAAAAAAATAAAGTTTAAAACGCAAATAAAAAAATATTTATGTTGTAAGATAATAATCAAAGAAAGATCAGAAAATTCCTCTTTTATTCTAAAAAACTACAAAGTTTGTCTGCTATTTACAAAACAATGTAATTTTTTGTTCAGCTTTCTTTGGAAATTGTGGTGGGACTCAAGCATTCCTAATTTTTTTCCGAAAAGGGTGGGGATCATTGAGTCCCACCGGTTGAATCCCTGAGCCATATTTTTAGCCTTAACTTTTTAGATATTCAATTATTTCGAATAATTCTTTTAATATTCGAAAGCCCTGGTTTTGGAATCATTTTCGCCAACAGGATTGATTTGAGCAGAGCATTCCACAAAAAGTTACGTCTAGACAAGTACGTGCAATCGTGATTTTTCTTGGTTGAATTTCGAGTAGTGAACGACATATCGACTTTTTCTTAAGGAAAAAAAGTCGTTTTAAAAAAATCTACAATTATTCGCGAACGACTTTTTTTAATAAACAAAACGCCAGAACTACGTAAATATCGATGTTTTACGCCAAACGATTGCGAAACGACTTTTTTGTGTCTCTTTTTCTCTAATTTCACATTATATTTCCTTTCTCTTTTTCTATTAATTTTCGTTCGTGTAGTCTCTCCTTTGGAATTTGCAATTTTCCATTTTTATAAATGTTCAGTCCCTTTTCTGTAATTTTTAGGGATTTTTCCACATATATTCTTACTAGATGGATGAATTTGAAAATGAATTAAGAGTCGCATTCGAAAGCGGCGATCTCGAAGAACCTGTGACACCGTCATCGAAACGTCGAAAATCCGATATCCTTAAGGGATTAGATCTAGGAAGTCCGAAGAGTAGGCGATCATGGAATGAAAGTAAAATATTTGGAAGGTATACGTAAAAAATTTCAATAAATTGTATTTATTATTTTAAGCCATTTCGATTGCGTCATAGACGATAAAGAAAATCTGACCAATCTTGTAGTTTGTAAACAGTGTTATGCGACATTCAATTACACGGGTACACATAATCTGAGGTTTTTTTACTATTAGATCTAAATTCTATTTCTTTAATTTTATTTTTTAAGAAATCATATCGAATTAAAACACGGAGTGCAGTTACCAGCTAAGGAAAAACAAAAGATGATGGAGGATGCCCTTGTTGAATTCTGCGTTACTGATGCAAGGCCGTTCTCTTTAATTAACGGAAAAGGATTTATTAGTTTCCTAGATGCTTATTCTGAATTGATGTAAGTTTTGTCGCGAAGCGACTAAGGATGAGGAAAATAAAATAAATATATTTTTATAATTTTAATTTATTTCGAAATTAATCATCATTTATTGCAAATTCCTTTTTCGGACTTTTACCTTCTAAAAAACCATTTTTTATGTAAACATCTATTCAAACTCTGTTTACATTTTTAGCTCCTTTTGTTCTAAAACTTAGCTTTACTCTGTTTGGCCTTTATCTTCTCTTGAACTGTTCTGTGCTTTGTATTGACGCTGTGTGTTTTAAATTGGAAATAAACTTTATTAATTGATTGAAGTTTTTTTTGGTTGGATAAAACCTAGGCTAAAATTTGCTTGGTAGAAAACCTGGACTTAGATTTGAGCTCTCCCTCCACATATTTTTGGTGCAACGGCCGGGAATCGGGCCGCCTTCAATTTGCTACTTGGATTCTAACTTTGGTTTGGAAGTGCTATACAAATGTCCGGAAGAATTAGACGAAACCTGAACGCTGCCTTGAAAACCATTCAAGAGCATACTGCCGAGGCCAATCGAATTATTGCTGAGGAAAATGATGAGGATACTCGCAGAAAGCTGAAGCTGGAAAAAGCCCATATTGAGACCACTATTGGAAGGATTGAGGAATTGGATGCCCAATGGAGTGATTATGTGACAAGCTTAGAAGGGCCGCAAAAAATGGCTGAGGAGTCGCTATATCTGGATTTTCCGCCCTTATGTGCTGGTATGGAAAGGGAGGAAGGGCAGGAAGTACCGTTAGCTCAACGTCATTTCGTGGATCAATGCGAATTTGCCCGTCAAGTTGTTGTGCTAATTGAACAAACCATGGAGGATCTTGGCCAATCTAGAAGCGGTTCACGTCAATCTGCAATGAGCGAAGTGTCAGATAACCGAACCAATGACCTTGGAAACCAAAATCGGAGGGCACAAGGAAATCAAAGGCCGCAGCCGCCTACAGTACAGTTGCAACAGCCCTTTATGGCGCAACCACGTGCGAAGCTCCCTCCCTTGCATTTACCTCATTTTTCGGGAGAAACCAGAGACTGGCCTACCTTTTGGCAACTTTTCGAGTCAACTGTGGACAATGAGCCCAGCTATGACAATGTTGTAAAAATGAGTTATTTGCTCTCTCTGTTGGACAGGCCCGTACAGAATGTGGTGGCCGGATACTTACCTACGAATGAAAACTATCCACGCGTGGTAAAGCTGCTGAAGTCTCGGTATGGTGACAAACGAGCACTCAAGGAGTCGTTACAGTCAGAGCTGTACCATCTACCCCATGCTAATGATTCTGTGATGGGATTGCGTAAATTTTTGGACATAATTGAAAGAGTGTGCCGTCAATTGACTGATTATGGAATTAGCGATGACTCTTGGATCGTTTTCACTATAAAGGAGAAATTGCCTAGAGGAATACTTTCCAAACTGATAGAAAAGGAACGAGTAGCCGAACAAACATGGAATGTCGAAAAGTGGAGGAAAGAGCTCGACCTACTTATTACAGTCAAAGAAGAGGTCCAGAAATGTAGCGTTAACAAGGAACCTGATTGGCATCAACGAAGGGACAGACGCCCACTGCCAATTCCAAACCCAGAGCAAACCCATTCTTTTCCGGTAGCTAGTCAACCGAGGAAACCCTTTTGTTCATGGTGTGAAGGAACCCATCTACCAAGCAGATGCCCGAAACATAACAACCTTCAGGCCAAGAAGGATCGTTTGCTGGAACAAAACCGTTGCCTAAAGTGCATATTATGTAGAGGGAACCACCCTCCAAGCCATTGTTCTAAGTATATCAGCCCAAAGGCGAGGAAATACAAGTTACTAGAACAGAACCGTTGCCTAAACTGCCTGAGTGATGGCCATCGAACCTTTGATTGCAGGAAGAATCGACGATGTATTAAATGTCGAGGAAAGCACCACCTTATGGTTTGCTATTCACGTGTGTCAAAAATCCAAATGTTGGAACCTATGCGGAAGAGCAATGATTATTGTTCAAAGCAGGCTGGAATGTTTGAAACTAAAAAATTGTTAGATGAAAAAACAAAGGCTCTCCAAGAGAAAGATAGAACGATAGTGAAATTGATGTCCGAGCTGATGTTGGCACGCAGAAAATCCGAGGAGGAATCCAAAAAAGCTAAGCGATTGAAAGTTCTCTTAGATGAAGCTAATTCGAGGAAGATTGGTGATTTTAATCCGAAAAAGATCGATAAGAGAAAAGGAATTCTGAAAGAGACTCAAGTGCGAATCAATTCCCTTCAGAAGACTAATCGAGAATTGCTGGTCAAAAATGATAAGCTCAAGCGTGAAATGCACGTCTACCGTAACAAATGCTTACAACTAGAAAGACTGGAACCACCAGATTTCTATGCCTGTTGCTGCCCCTGGATGGGTATAAAAATGTTCATGATTGTCCTTGTCGCTTTTGCTATGATCTTGGATGGCGCTAAAGCTGCTTTGAGGATGTTTATTAACGCAACCAATAAACTTTGGAAATGTAAAACGAATGGAAGGATGGAAAATGAATTGACTCTTGAAACCCGCTCTTGGCTTTCTTTAACGATTTTTGCCACCGTTGTTGCGATCAACCCCAGTTGGACCTTTCTCGCCATCTTTGTTAATGTTATGGATGGCTGGACACATGCACGGAAAGAGAGCAGAAAATGTGCAATGGATGATGTGCCGAAGATCAAGAAAAGAAAGAAAATACTTGAAAGATGGAAAAAGGAAATTGAGGATGAAACTTTCAGACGCGGGCGGGAATGTCGCGAAGCGACTAAGGATGAGGAAAATAAAATAAATATATTTTTATAATTTTAATTTATTTCGAAATTAATCATCATTTATTGCAAATTCCTTTTTCGGACTTTTACCTTCTAAAAAACCATTTTTTATGTAAACATCTATTCAAACTCTGTTTACATTTTTAGCTCCTTTTGTTCTAAAACTTAGCTTTACTCTGTTTGGCCTTTATCTTCTCTTGAACTGTTCTGTGCTTTGTATTGACGCTGTGTGTTTTAAATTGGAAATAAACTTTATTAATTGATTGAAGTTTTTTTTGGTTGGATAAAACCTAGGCTAAAATTTGCTTGGTAGAAAACCTGGACTTAGATTTGAGCTCTCCCTCCACAAGTTTCGTGAAATGAATATTATTAATTTAATTTATAGAATTGACAGACACTTAAAAAACCAAACTACAACGTCCAGCCTCATCTTACCTAATGAAAAAACTATAAGTCGAAAGGTGTTCGAGGTGCTAAAATCTAAGCAACCAGAACTTAATTCTATTTTTGATGAAATGAGCGAATCTGGGTTTTCTATTTCGCTCGATTTTTCTCAGAAGTTGGGCACTGATTATTGCGTCATGGTGGCACACTACATAACAAAAGACTGGTTAATTGTTTAGCATATTTATAGTAATGAATTTTATTAATTTAATTAAGGACTTTGAGACATTTTGTACTTTCCTGTCTTCCAATTCCTGGAGACATTTCCAAAACCAGAGAAAATATATCTGATTTAGTTAACAAAAATCTTACCTATCTTGGGCTTGACATGTCAAAAATCGTTTTTATTACTGATGAGGGATCCAATGTAAGTCACCTTGGAGGAGAAAAACACCACAGATGTATTGCTCACATTCTTGCAACAATATCACGCCACATCACTCAGCCTTATGCAGACCACCAAACATCTGACAGTGTTGTAGCAGTGCAATCGGCAATTACTGATTTACATTCATTTATTTCTGATTTGAGGTTTTTTTATTTCAATTCTTAAAATTTATCCTACAAGGCGTATTACACCAATACGTCAAGCTCTTAGAGGTGTTTTACTGTTGCCAATTGCAACACGTTGGCTTTCAATCTTAGCTATGGTCAGGGCCTTTTCTGCAGCAGATAAAGAATCATTTAAAGAAATTGTGGTACTTTCCTGTTATGACGCAACAGTCAGTTTTTTCGTCAGTTTTTTCGAAAATTATGTAAAAATGGTCAGTCTGAACAATAATTGTAGAACCCATCGAGCTGAGTCGAATGATACCAAAATCAACGAATTCTGAGGAGATTTGACAAAGTTATGACATTATTTAGACCTACCGGAGTCGACGACTTATGTCATAACTTTGTCAAATCAAGTCGGATTTGGTTGATTCTGGTCTCATTCGACTCAGCTCGACGAGCTCTTTCGAATGAGTTATGATTTGTATAGATTTTCGTCTTTATGATTTTGTGCCCCTGTGGTTTAGGGGTCTGTATTTCGGTCAAATCAAGTCGAATTTTGTTGATTTTGGTGTCATTCGACAAAGCTCGATGTGTTCTACAATTGTTGTTTAGACTGACCATTTTTACATAATTTTTGAAAAAACTGACGAAAAAACTGACTGTTGCGTCATAACAGGAAAGTACCGAAATTGTTAACAAATATTCTGGCAATCAATACACAGAGAGAATGGAACGAATTTTTTCCAAGCAAAATCTTTTTGAAGCTTATATTCAAATTGTTTCAATGTTGGAAGCACCTTTGAAAATACTTGAGGTAAAAAATGGCCTAAGTACACTTTACCGGGCGATTTTAGATTTATATGATTTATATGTCAATCGAAAGAGCTCGGCGAGCTGAGTCGAATGACACCAAAATTAGCCCGCGGACTCAACTATGGACCGAGATATGGGTCCCCAAAAATCGAAAAACATAGGGGGGACTAAGCACTTTTTTGGGGGTAAAAAATTCGAATATGCAAATTATACCTCATTCGAAAGAGCTCGTCGAGCTGAGTCAAATGAAACCAAAATCAGCTCGATATCATGATTTCGAGCCAAGATAAAAAGGCTCAAAATGGTCAACGTAAACCTATGGGGCGTAGGCGAGGCGCTTGTGCAAAACCCCGCGCTTCGCGCGGGGTTTTGCGGCACGCGCCTCGCGGGGAGTCTACGGGCGCTGGGTCTGGGCTCGTAACATTGTCCTATTCCTATCATAATGAGGTGGGCATCCCAGGCTTCCTCCGCAGTAGCAAAACCTCCACAGATGCCATAGGTAAGGAGCTAAGATAAAAGATCATAACTTTGTCAAATCAAGTCGGATTTCGTTGATTTTGGTGTTATTCAACTCAGTTCGACGAGCTCTTTCTAATGAGGTATAATTTGCATATTCGAATTTTTTACCCCCAAAAAAGTGCTTGGTCCCTTCTATGGTTTTTCGATTTTCGGGGACCCATATCTCGGTTCATAGTTGAGTCCGCGGGCTAATTTTGGTGTCATTCGACTCAGCTCGCCGAGCTCTTTCGATTGACATATAAATCATAAAAATCTAAAATCGCCCGGTAAAGTGTACTTTAGCCTAAAAAATAATATTGAAATTTAGAAAATTAAAATTTTAGGCCGAAAATAAATGTACACTGAATAGACTAATGATAGAAATGATCAAATTGGAAAATGCTTGGAGAGGAGAAGCAAGAGGAGATGATTTGATCAGAGCAGCGTTAGCCAAAAGTGGATTGAAAGCCTTTAACAGGAAGATGAGTGAAATTTTCATTGAAAATACGGAAAGCCTTTCTATCATCAGATGTGCTGCTTACCTTGATCCTGCCGTTTGTGGAATTCTTAAGAAAGTATGTCAAACGAACTGTCATTGGGGTGACTATGAAACGGTTTTTATTTAGATTTTAATATTGACTTATTAAATTTTAGATACAAAAAGCCGTTAGAAATGTTGCAAAACAAAACTTTCCGGAATGTTTACGCCCACACGTGGAAAACGGTTTTTATTTAATCCAGAATAAGTTTAATAGAAAATTTAGTTTCACCAAGTCTAGTTACCTTTGGTCAAAATGCAATGAGGACTGAGATAGATTTTGAGATGGAACAGTATGAAACTGCATGTAAGAATTTGGGAGGGCATAAGCTAGATTTACTTAAATTTTGGAAAGAAAATTCAATGAAAATTCCACACCTTTCATTCATTTCTAAGCATTTTTTAGCAATTCCTTCTTCTTCTACTTCTTGTGAACGTATATTTTCCCGATTTTCTCCTTTAGTATATGATTATAACGAAATCGTTTTGACCCACATACTATTTCTACACTTATTTCATTACAATCATTATTTAAAGATGAATAAAATTTTGTTGTTTTATTTTTTTAAACTTTAACAAACGAAAACCTAACAAAAATTCCAATGGAGAGACAACGACATAGAAAATTAATAGAAAAAGAGAAAGGAAATATAATGACAGAGCAGAGAAAAAGAGATACAAAAAAGTCGATTCGCAATCGTTTGGCGCAAAACATCGATATTTACGTAGTTCTGGCGTTTTGTATTAAAAAAAAGTCGTTCGCGAATAAAAGTAGTTATTCGCCGCGAATCGACGAAAACGTAGATATGTCGTTCACTAATTTCGAGGGATGTACTCGTGGACCTGTAATTCTTTGAAAAAATAATTAAAAATTATTATTTTTATTTAAAAGCATAACCCTGTTAAACCTGATGTCCCCAAAACACAGCAGACTCAACCTAAAGCTGAGGAAAAGGTTGGTTTTTTGTTTTGATGGTAGGGTTCTTAAAATGGACCGACTCGGACCGAAAGATCGGGTCGGGGGCCTAGATGTTTGGTCCGAAAGTGACTGGTTCTGGTCCGACGATAAAAACAAGCCCGACTAGTAAACGGCCCCTATTTGATGGGCATAGGCTTTTCCTTGGCCTTCCAATTTTTACAAGTGTCAGTTCCCTTTTCCTGGATCTTTTTAAGGATTTAACTAAAAGACTTTTTAAACTTAATTACTCTTTTAATACTTACTTGTGCCAGATACCAATACGCGTGCTAGTTACTGGAGCAGCTGGTCAGATTGGTTATTCTTTGGTTATTCAAATTGCAAAGGGTGATGTTTTTGGAAAGGAAACGGTTTGATATTTTTTAAAACTTATTTTTAAATTCAAATTTTCAGCCTATTGTTCTGGTCATGTTGGATATTCCTCCATTGGGAGAAGTGCTTAATGGAGTGGAACTTGAACTTTACGATTGTGCCTTGGCGAATCTTATAGGTTTTTTGTGATTTAATTTTATCTTAACTTTAGGATTTCTAAACCTCACTAATATTTTCAGCTGTCGAGCCGGTCACGACCGAAGAAGCAGCGTTCAAAGACATTGATTATGCTTTTCTTGTTGGTGCAATGCCTCGAAAAGAAGGGATGGAACGGAAAGATTTACTTGCTGCTAATGTGAAAATATTTAAATCGCAAGGACTGGCTCTGGCAAAGTATTCGAAACCAACTGTTAAGGTAAAAAATAAATTTTGACATTAAAAATTCTTTAAAGGTTCTGGTTGTTGGAAACCCAGCAAATACAAATGCTTTTATTTGTGCAAAATATGCTTCAGAAAAGATTCCAGCAAAGAATTTCAGCGCTATGACACGTCTTGACCATAACCGTGCAATTGCCCAAATAGCTGCTCGTTGTGGTGTTGACTGTGGATCTGTAAAGAAAGTTATAATTTGGGGAAATCATTCAAGTACCCAATTTCCTGATGTTAAACATGCTAAAGTAATTAAAGGTTTGGAAGTTTTTTATTTTATCCGAATATTTAACAGGTGGCACAGAGATTGGTGCTTATGAGGCTGTGAATGATGTGCCGTGGATTCAAAACGAATTTATTTCGGTTATTTATTTTTTGAGGACATTTAGAAAACTTCCATATTTTTAGACTGTTCAAAAGCGCGGAGCCGTTATTATCGAAAAACGCAAACTGTCCAGCGCAATGTCTGCAGCAAAAGCGGCATGGTAAGTAGTAAATCGACATGAGGTCCTTTTGTTTAAAGACCTTCTAATATCTCCTCAATTTTAGCGACCACATTCATGATTGGCACTTTGGAACAAAAGATGGCGATTGGGTTTCTATGGCCGTTCCTTCTGATGGTTCTTATGGAATTCCGGAAGGTTTGATCTTCTCATTTCCAATCACAATTGATGCAAAAACGCGTGACTGGAAAATTGTTCAAGGATTGGAACTTGATGGGTTTGCGAAGCAAAAAATTGAAATTACAACAAAGGTTTCTACAAACTTTTTTAAAAAATAAATTTTTATTAAATATTTTTTGAAGGAATTGACAGCAGAACGCGAAGATGCTTTAGAGGTATCAAAATAAATATTAACTAAAAATATCTGAAGAATTAAAGAATAGTTGTATTTTTATTTTAAAAATGTAAGGAAATACGGGATTTTTTATGACCAATTAAAATATGAATTGAATTTATTTTTAATTTATTTTCTATGATAAATTTAAACCATGAATATTTTTTAATTTAAACCCGCTAGAAAATTTCGACCTAAAGATGTTTTTCCTAGCTTTTCTTTTAATTAAAAAATTTTTTGATTTGGATTTAGACACACAACAACTTAAAAAGTCAAAACTTTGAAGCCTTATAACTTTTCGAAATGAGGGTCAGGGGAAAAAAGCGAGGTATGGGAATAGGCTATCGACCTCTGCACGGTGGTATAATTTTTATGAAAAATTTTTTGTTCACAGTTCGGAAGGTTCCCTTGTTGCCTCCATGAGGGAGAGTTACCATTTTAGTGTTATTTTTCCTGCGTTTACTCAAATAAAAGTATCGAAAAATAAAAATGAGAAATAACTATGAAATGGGCGCTTATTCTTTTTTTCACTGAAACGTCTCTTAGTTTTTGCTGGTTAAGTTGTTGTCTAGAAATTTCTGTTAATTAAATTTTTAAGGTTAATTTTAGTTCCTTTTTAGTGTTTTTAAATTTATTATTGATGGATACTTCAAATCTTTTACTTTGTTACAACAAGGGATGTGGAGCTAAATTTAATCCTGATGAAAATAAAGAAGGTTTTTTTTATTTTTGATTTTAATTTTAAAAAATTGAATTTTTAAGATTCTTGCATTTTCCACCCTGGGCCGCCCTATTTTCATGATGCTTACAAAATTTGGAAGTGTTGCAATAAAAAAAGCACAGATTTTAGGTTAATTTTAATGTAAATTTTAATTTTAAAAATTGTATTTAAAGTACTTGGCTGAGTTTTGAAGGATGTACTCGTGGACCTGTAATTTATTTTAAATTAATAAAAATTATTTTTATTTAAAAGCATAATCCTGATAAACCTTGCAATGATGTTCCTAAAGTTTTGCCTTCACAGCCTGAAGTTGAAGAAAAGGTTTGATTTTTATTTTGCTGCTTACAATTAGAGGTTTTTTAAGCATTCTTATATCGCATTCCGATTTTTTTCAACATTTTGTGCGGGACGGGATCCCTCGGGATTAATCTTTGAATTTATTTTCTCGTTTAAATTTCAGGATTTATGGGTGTGATCCCTTAAAATTCCTTCAGTGATTTTATCCCGTGACAATCTCTATATAAGACTATAATGACTCAAATCAATATACGAAGTTCATAGGAATATTAGGACGGAAATTTTTTTTGTTTTTCTTTTTGAACAATCAATTCTTTTTTTAAATTTAAATCAAAAAGAAAGAACCTTTTAATTTTAAGAAGGAATTGATTAAAAAATGTTCTCCTATATTTCCCTAAAATTAAATTTATAGCGAAGAATTTTTCAATCTTTAGATGATCGTCTGGAATGGATTAAACAAACCTGCCGAACGATCTGAAGCCCACAATCGAGAAAGAGTTTCACTTTCTATGCAAATGACAGAGGTCATTTTATTCGACTTAATTTTCAATTTTCTTTATTTTTTTTTAATTTTCTAGACTTCCCGGAAAGCATTAGAAAATGAATTACAACGAAGGAAAGAAAATGTTGAAATAATCGATGAAATTCAAAATTTAAAGCTTTTGATTGGGACTGGATGTACTAATAATGCTTGCAAAGCGGTTTTTTTTAATTTTATTTTTCTGATATTTTTTTAGACTTATAATGGCCCCGAAACAGATTTACAAGAATGTTTACACCATCCAGGCAATGCAATATTCCATGAGGGAATGAAATTTTGGTCTTGTTGTGAGCGCAAAACTACCGATTTTGGAGCTTTTCTTGATCAACTGGGATGTTCTAGAGGAAAGCATTGTTGGACTAAAGTTTGTTTTTTAAAAATTTTGGGAATTTTTTATTTTTTAAGGGTCTTTAATTTATTTAACTTTGTACAATAATTGCTGTCATTTTTGACATTTTCATGCTCAAATTCTGGGCATTTATCGGTTACCCCCTAACATTTCTGATAAATATCAATTATTTAAAAGCAAAGTTCAGAAGATTTTTAAATAATTTTTTTTCGTCTGTTCTAACTAAATTGTTTCTGTCTTGTTCACCTCGAGAGAAACTTTAAAAAATTTTTCTCTAAAATATTTATTCTTTTAATTTTATTAAAACAGCAAATTGATCAAACAGAAAATCTTCGAGAAGATTGGTTTCAGCGAAATGGACAAATTTTAATTTCAATTTATTGTAAAGGAGCGATAATTGAAGGGACTAAAATTGACACAGATGGACTCAATTTAAAGGCTAAAATTAAATTTAATTTTGGAGATAAAGAAACTTTACGAGAATATGAACTTTTTGGTGAAATTATTCCTTCTGAGAGCATGGTTTGATTTTTTAAAAATGTTTTTAAAAATTAGAGTTTGGGGTTAATGAGAGGATGCACTTCGTCTTTATAGTTTCTGAACGAATAGTAGTCCAATTTTTGTAGTCTTTATATTGTTTGGATAGGAATGTTGCAGGGCTAAGGTTTCTTCTGCTTCCGGTTTTGCCTAATTTAGTCATTTTTGGTTTTCCAATTTTATTTCCTCCCATCTTTCAAAGGGTCCATCCCAGGCCCGTAACCAGGGGGGGTGAGGGGGGGAATTCCCCCCCCCCCCCCCGAAATGGGAAAAAGGAAAAAATTTGGGGAAGGGCTGGGGCAAAATAAGTGAATTTTTTGGCCTACGGCCTCTGAAATTTAAAAAATTTTCGCCTGCGGCGCTAAAAAAGGACGAAATCTGGCTTCTTGAGGTCCAAAATTCAAAAAATTTTCGCCTGCGGCACTGAAAATCAAATTTTTGGCGCCTGCGGCGCCGAAAAAGTGAATTTTTTTGGCCTACGGCCTTCTAAAATTCTCAAAATTTTCGCCTGCGGCGCTGAAAATAAAAATTTTTGGCGCCTTCGGCGCCAAAAATTTGGCGCAATAAAATTTCCCCCCCCCCCCCCCCCCCCCCGAAAAAAATCCTAGTTACGGGCCTGGTCCATCCTGCTATAAAACCTCACTTTTTGGGTTTAAAATTATCTTTATTTTTAAGGTTTTGATAAGTGAACGAAAAGTGGAGATTATGCTTAAACAGGTGAACAAAGATGCTTGGCCAAGACTGACATATAAGTGATATTTTTTAACGGATATTTTTATTTTTGTAAAAAATTTGAAAAAATATGTTGAGATGTTTTACAAGAGAAGGCAATTGAAATTTTTGATTTTTTGAAAAAAAAAATCAAAGTGGTATTTAACCAGCAGATTTGCAAGAAATATCGAAGTTAAACATGTTTAGTGGGAAAAATGAAATGGGTAGCTTAATTTTTAACAAATTTCTACGAAAAAAGATGTGAAGCGTCTTATAAATTAAAAAGCCATAATTGCAGAAAAACCTTTATATAAAATATCTCTTTTAGACTAAAAGAGATCCTCTAGAAATCAAAGAAAATACGCTTCACACAAGTACACAGAGAACATCCTCCACCACAGAGCACAATTGCCTCTAATAGGTTAAGGAGAATAACTAAGCAAACTATTTGAATTTAAACATTTAATATGCAAAAAATTTCAACAATCATAAAATCAAATTCCGAAAAATTCATTTAAATTATAAATAAAAAAATAAATAAACCAACAAAAATTATTTGAAGAATCATCTCAAAATTTCTTGTTTCATTTTGTAACAAAAATCACCTGTATCTTTCTATTCTAATCAAGGAGATCTTCATCAATTTGTTCATCAAATTGTTCATCAATTTTTTGATCAAATAAGCCATGAAATAAACCAAAAAAATTGTCCGTAGACGTGGGACTTGAATTTGCATATTCCATCTTAATATCCTCTACCAATTCACGAGAAATCGACTGAAGAATGATTAATGATTTTTTCAAAATAATTTTAAATGAGGCCATTAAGAATTTAAAAATTTAAGGATTTTACGGATAAAATCCAACAACGATCCAAAAATAACTAATCAAAATGAGAGGAACCTAAAATTTTGAAAGATATCCGAAAACTATATAAAATTTTGAGAATATATCAACATAGGTATATTAGAAAAGATTTGAGAATGGGTTAGGAATAAGTTTATTCTAGCCAATATTTATAAAAAAGTAATACCAATAATTCGGGTTGAATTTTCAGAGCTTTCGTAATAGAAGAATAATTATGCATTGCATTAATGGCACAATCATAAAATTTTTCAACAAATATTTTTCCGTTGTCTGTCAATTTTTCACGTTCAACATCATTTAAGATAACAGAATAAAGTCCAAAAGTGAAGAATAATTTAAATAAAACAAATTCTTCTTTGTTGAGCTCTAATTTGCCAAGTAAACGAACCAATTTAATTGTAACTTTCTCAACAACTTCTTTGGTTAAGAAACTATTTTTGGGAATCTAAAAAGAATTTTTAATAAATAAATTGTACTAAACTTGAAAGCTTATAAAAATTAGAATCTAGATCAATCAAGTATTGTGGAAATATCCTAAATAACTCTTAAAACAATTAAAACCAATTAACTTTAAATTTTAGCTAACTTAAAGATCCTTGTTATTCCAAGGATATTATTTCTAATCAAATTATTTTGTAAAAAATTATTATAAAAAATATTACTTCAAATCCTTCTTCAAGTGGTAAGCAAAGAAAACTTGAAAAACCAACATATTGTGTCTTATATTCTTCATTGGATGAAATCAAAGTCCCCAAAGCAAATTCAAAAATTAGAAGAGGCGCATATGCATAACGTAATAAAATAATCTTTAAAAAATTAAAAGTAATAATCCATAAATAAGAAAACCTTATCATTAACAGTTAACTCATTGCCGGAGAAATTTTGAGGTGTAACCTCCTCGAAATTGATCCCGGAAAGACAATTAATATATTCCACCAATTTTATAACAAAATGGGATTTTGTAACCTCAATTTGTTGAAAGTCAATAACTTGTGTAACAGGTTTAATACGAAATTCACCCTGTTATTAAAAATTTTTATTGGAAAATTTTGTTTAAATAAAAGATTGTAATTTAAAACAAATGTCATTTAAGCTGATTGTGAGATACAAACGTAAACTATAGGGGATGTGACCGTTGAGACTGAACGAATTTTAAAGATTATGCCCAAATTAATTAGCTAAGCTTTTTGAATGACACACTTGAGCGAAATTAAAATCATAGCGAAGGTTCAACGTAAACCTATGGGGCGTAGGCGAAGCGCACTCCCCTATGGTTTTTGACCATTTCGAGCCCTATATCTAGGTCCACAGGCATCTCCGTGAAAAAGAATGGTACCGTTCGACTCAGCACCTTTTTCTACCCTATATATGACATTTTGAACATTAATTTAGGGGGTTACGTCATAACGGAAAAGTACCCAATATACCATTCAAAAGAGCTCGTCGAGCTGAGCCGAACGACACCAAAATTTGCTTCGGGACTCTCCTATGAGCCAAATCACAGGCCCCTAAATTTAAGAACCAAAGGATGACCAAGCTGATTTGTGGGTGAAAATAATAGCTCAATCAAAAGACAGTAATTTTGTGCATAGTCGATGATTTGCACAAAATTACGAGAAACTAAACTACTAGCTGTAGCCGGGGGGGGGGGGGGTACGGACCTGGCTGCTACGACTCGATATTTCAGAGTTGAAAATCGATAGAAAGGAATAGGCTTATGTTAAAAGTGCAGAACCCAGCAAAAGTTGATTTCCAGGAGAACCCAGCAAAAGTTGATTTCCAGGAGACTAAAAGAGATCCTCTAGAAATCAAAGAAAATACGCTTCACACAAGTACACAGAGAACATCCTCCACCACAGAGCACAATTGCCTCTAATAGGTTAAGGAGAATAACTAAGCAAACTATTTGAATTTAAACATTTAATATGCAAAAAATTTCAACAATCATAAAATCAAATTCCGAAAAATTCATTTAAATTATAAATAAAAAAATAAATAAACCAACAAAAATTATTTGAAGAATCATCTCAAAATTTCTTGTTTCATTTTGTAACAAAAATCACCTGTATCTTTCTATTCTAATCAAGGAGATCTTCATCAATTTGTTCATCAAATTGTTCATCAATTTTTTGATCAAATAAGCCATGAAATAAACCAAAAAAATTGTCCGTAGACGTGGGACTTGAATTTGCATATTCCATCTTAATATCCTCTACCAATTCACGAGAAATCGACTGAAGAATGATTAATGATTTTTTCAAAATAATTTTAAATGAGGCCATTAAGGATTTAAAAATTTAAGGATTTACGGATAAACCCAACAACGATCCAAAAATAACTAATCAAAATGAGAGGAACTTAAAATTTAAAATTTTTGAAAATTCTGAGAATGGGTTAGGAACAAAAGTCTAGTCTAGCCCATATTTATAAAAAAAGTAATACCAATAATTCGGGTTGAAATTTTGTAAAAAATTTCAGAGCTTTTGTAGAAGAATAATTATGCATTAAATTAATGGCACAATCATAAAATTTTTCAACAAATATTTCCCCGTTGTCGGACAACTTTTCACGTTCAACATCATTTAAGACAACAGAATAAAGTCCAAAAGTGAAGAATAATTTAAATAAAACAAATTCTTCTTTGTTGAGCTCTAAGTTGCCAAGAAAACGAACCAATTTGATTGTAACTTTCTCAACAACTTCTTTGGTTAAGAAACTATTTTTGGGAATCTAAAAAGAATTTTTAATAAATAAATTGTACTAAACTTGAAAGCTTATAAAAATTAGAATCTAGATCAATCAAGTATTGTGGAAATATCCTAAATAACTCTTAAAACAATTAAAACCAATTAAACTTTAAATTTTAGCTAACTTAAAGATCCTTGTTATTCCAAGGATATTATTTCTAATCAAATTATTTTGTAAAAAATTATTATAAAAAATATTACTTCAAATCTTTCTTCAAGTGGTAAGCAAAGAAAACTTGAAAAACCAACATATTGTGCCTTATATTCTTCATTGGATGAAATCAAAGTCCCCAAAGCAAATTCAAAAATTAGAAGAGGCGCATATGCATAACGTAATAAAATAATCTTTAAAAAATTAAAAGTAATAATCCATAAATAAGAAAACCTTATCATTAACAGTTAACTCATTGCCGGAGAAATTTTGAGGTGTAACCTCCTCGAAATTGATCCCGGAAAGACAATTAATATATTCTACCAATTTTATAACAAAATGGGATTTTGTAACCTCAATTTGTTGAAAGTCAATAACTTGTGTAACAGGTTTAATACGAAATTCACCCTGTTATTAAAAATTTTTATTGGAAAATTTTGTTTAAATAAAAGATTGTAATTTAGAACAAATGTCATTTAAGCTGATTGTGAGATACAAACGTAAACTATAGGGGATGTGACCGTTGAGACTGAACGAATTTTAAAGATTATGCCCAAATTAATTAGCTAAGCTTTTTGAATGACACACTTGAGCGAAATTAAAATCATAGCGAAGGTAATCATTTCGAGGTAAAATCATTTCGAGCCCTATATCTAGGTCCACAGGCACAAAATTACGAGAAACTAAACTACTAGCTGTAGCCGGGGGGGGGGGG